CAGCCTTTCACTCCGAAGCCGTCGCGGCCCTCGCTGTCGAGGGCGGCCTGGTGGGCGGCCAGTCTGTCGACGACGCCCTCGACATCGCAGACGCGGACGCGGAGTTCGTGGCTGCTGATTGCGGCGGGCACCGAGATGACCCGCGTGGCGGGGTTGCTGCTGGGGCCGGAGGATCCAACTCAGATCGCGGCGGGGAGGGCGACTGGGGCGACGACGACGGCCTTGGGCTCCAACTGCGCGGCGGCGACGCGATGGACCATGCGCCTGGCCCGTGTTTCCCCTGGGGTATTCTCGAGCGATGCGTGGCGATCTCGCTGGGCATGCGGAAGTCATTCGAATCTGCCGTCGAGGCGAGCTTTGGCCCATTGTCTGCCTGCGCAGTGATCTTGAAGCACAAGTTTGGCGAGGGGGGCGAAGACGTCGAAGAGTGGTTTCTCGTCAGCAGCAGGGTGGGGGGAGCTACCTTTTGGGTCGCACCGCTGCGCAGGAATATTGACGCTGTCATCCCTGGCGGGCTGGGCGTCGTCAGGTTGCAGAGGCCGATTGCGCAGTTGGGCATCTGATCCAGCGGGCAGGGCCCCGCGGCCTCGATGCCCGCTTGAGCTTCCAAGTGGCGCAGCTCAAGTGGGACAACGCGTTCCTGGCATCGGTCGTGGATGTTTCCCCGTTGCAATGCGCCAAGCCACGTGCGCGGTTGAGACAGGCAGATGAAGGGGCGGTCGCCATGGCCGCTGCCTGTGCCAACGGTGACGACGTGGCCGAAGGGGGCAATGGGGGCGAGGAGAACGATGACAGCGAGGACGGCGAGGAGGCTACCGAGGTCGCCGAGGTCACGAGGCACTTCGTCTCCCTGGGCCCCAGCGAGAGGTAGGACTTGGGGGCTGGATGCGGTGGGCGCGACGCTAGCATCGAGGATGTCGCCGAGGCATCGAAGGCGCGCGTGGGGGTGGGGGAGTGCGAAGCCGAGGGCGACGACGTCCACGATCGACCTCGGCCGCCTCGTCCTCGCGCGGCGGCCAGCTGCGACGACGGAGGTCGAGATGCGCGGCCCCGCGTCAATCGAGCTAAGGCGTCCGCCATGGACAGCTGCAACGGGCTCAAGAGCCTTCTGGAGTCTTTGATGTCTGGCGGCTACGTCGTGCCTGAACCTGCGAACAAGTGCGCGTCCCTCTTCTCCGTGGCCAGCGTGGTAGCAGGGGCGCGTGCGACCTCGCTGGGCCGGCGGTGCTGGGAGGGCGTCGACCTCGGAGAGGGGCGATGGCACTCTGGGAGTAATCTTGATCCAAGACGGCCGCTCTCGGGGCCCTCTCGGGGCCTTCTTGGCCTTGGGGCCGCCCTGTGGGCGGGGGGGGCGGGGGGGGGGGGCGCGCCCCGACCAAACTTGGTCGGCGTCTGCGGTTTCGCCGGGTATGGGGGCCCTCTGGGGCCCCCCAGAGGCGCCGGGGGAGCTCTCGGGAGCCTGGCCGTTTTCGCGGGGATGTCCCGAGAGATGCCGCCGACGCCGACCGAGTTTGGCGGCGGGGTGGTGCTCGCCCCGAGGCGGCCCCACGAGGGCCCCGAGACGGCGCCGAGAAGTCTCGAGGCCCCGGCGGCCCCGGGCGCCTGAAGAAGGCCCCGACGTTGCTTCAATATGCTTCCAAGGGCCTCCAAGGAGCGCCCGAGAGCCTCCAGAGAGCTCAAGGGCCCCTTGGGGCCCTCTTGGAGCCGATGAGGATCGGGCTGCAAGGGTAAGAACATTCGCCCGAGCCGGGCGCGAGGGCTCCTGGATAATCCTTATGCTCCAAGAGGACCCAATGCGACCAGGAGGAGCCCTGGGAGATGACCCCCCACCCTCCCGAACAGTTTGGGCCCCCCTCGTGGAGCTCATGTCGGCCACGAGATGGCCCAAGAGGGCCCCGAGGTAGGATTCGTTGCGGTCTCCAGAGGGTTCCGGTCGATTCTGACATGCGCGTGGTCTACGAGCACCGCCCGTCGAGGCCCGAAGATCGCCGACTGCCGCCGGGGGATCGTTGCCCCCCTTGTTCCTCGCAGCCGTCAGGATGGTCAAGCCGAGATATGAGGGAGAGGATGCCAGAACAGGTGGTCTCAGCCTTCAGATTCATCAGGAAGGCTTGGGGAGTGGTGGATACTGATTACTCTTTCGGCGCAGCTTTGTGCAGCGTGCGTCGTGAAAAGGGCCGAGGCAGACGACTCTGCGCGCGCGGCGCGTGGCCTGATCGCCCGCGCGGGGTGCTTGGGCGAAGTGCGCGCGCGGCGCTCGAAAGTAGATGCGCCGGCTTATTCGGCCAAGCTCCTACTTGGCCATCTTTGCAGGTATTGCGCAGCGTCGTTCGTGATGGAATGACCGCATTTGGGCGCTGAGAGATGGAAGTCGAGATCATCGACGTACTATGAGTCGTAACAGGGGGCTCCTACTAAGAGTCGTAGTAGGGAGGTCCTACTAAGAGTCGTAGTAGGGAGCTCGTACCATGAGTCGCAGTAGGGAGCTCGTATTGTGAGTCGTAGTAGGGCCCCCCCCACACTGATTCTTAGTATGGGGAGCTCCTACTACAAATCGCAATATGGAATTTCAATTATGAGTCGTAGTATGGAAATCGTTCTATGAGTCGTAGTAGGGAGCTCCTACTATGAGTCGTAGTAGGGAGCTCGTACTATGTATCGTAATAGGGAGCTCGTTCTATGATTCGTAGTAGGGAGCTCTGACCATAAGCTGTAGCAGGGAGCTCCGATTATGAGTCGTAGTAGGGAGTTCGTGCTATGAGTCGTAGTAGGGAGCTTCTATTGTGAGTCGTAGTAGGGAGCTCGTGCTATGAGCCGTAGTAGGGATAACTCTGTGAGTCATAGTGGGGAGCTCAGATTATGAGTCGTAGTAGTAGGGAGCTCGCATTAAGAATCGTAGTAGGGAGGTCCTTCTACGAACCATAGTCCGGAGCACCCACTATGAGTCGCAGTAGGGAACTCTTACTATGTGTCGTAATGGGGAGCTCGTAATATGATCCCTCTACCATCCCTGCTATGTTCGCTTCGCTGGAAGACACGTTTTTGGTGTCCAGGGATCTGTAGCGTCCCATGGTGTCGAATGCCAATGGCTCTAATGGCTTGGTGTGTGTGGGTGTGGGTGTGGGTGTGAGTATGGTTGGAAGGGGGGTGGCGGTGCTGCACGGGTACCCAGTGTACGCCTCCACCCCCTGGGCGGAGTGCGGAACATGGCTCCGGTGGGACGGGTACCAGTATATGCCTCCACCTTGTTGTTGTTGTGATTGTTGTTGTTGTTGTTGCTGCTGTTGTTGTTGTTGTTGTTGTTGTTGCTGCTGCTGCTGCTGCTGCTGTTGTTGTTGTTGTTGTTGTTGTTGGTGTTGGTGCTGTTGTTGTTGTTGTTGTGGTTGTTGTTGTTTTTGTTGTTGTTGTTGTTGTTGTTGTTGGTGTTGTTGTTGTTGTTGTTGTTGGTGTTGTTGTTGTTGTTGTTGTTGTTGTTGTTGCTGCTGCTGCTGCTGTTGTTGTTGTTGCCGTTGCTGTTGCTGTTGTTGTTGTTGTTGTTGTTGTTGTTGTTGTTGTTGGTGTTGGTGTTGGTGTTGGTGTTGGTGTTGGTGTTGGTGTTGGTGTTGGTGTTGGTGTTGGTGTTGTTGTTGTTGGTGTTGTTGTTGTTCAATGTTCATCACTCAGCAATTATTATTTTTCGACCCCTTACAGGTGCCCGGGTGCTCGGGCGCTCTCGCCGAGGTGCCGGCCGCATTTTCATTGAAAATGAGGCTCACTCTCAAGCGGTTTGGGGGGCCGCCAAAACCAGCCCCCAAACAACAACAACGCTCCCGTTCGAGACGTCCTCCTTTTTTACTCAGGGCTGGTGCTCTTGCTTGCCGTCGAAAGCGGCCATCTCAACAAAACCAGCGCTCCCGCGCGAGACTTCCTCCCGGATGACCTTGGACAGGCGCGCTACTCTTTCTCTCATCGGCGCCGCACCCCGGCAACAATAACGCTCGCGCTCGAGACTTCCTCCCTTTTTTACTCAAGGCGGTGCTTTTGCTTGCCGCCGACAGCCCCCGTCCCGACAAAACCAGCGCTCCCGCCCGAGACTTCTTCCCGTTTTACGCTGGACTCGCGCCCTACTCTCTTCAGCATTGGCGCCGCTCCCAGAAACAACAACGGCCCTGCTCGAGGCTTCCCCCCTTGTTCCTCAGGACGGTGCTGCTCCTCGCCGCCGACAGCTCCCGTCCTGACAAAACCATGGCTCCGCTTGAGGTTTACTTCTTACTCGCCGCTGAAAGCCGCCGTCCCAACAAAACCCGTGTCCCCGCTCGAGAATTCGTTTTGCTTTACGTTGGACCAGCGCCCTACTCTCTTCAGCATTGGCGCCGATCCCAGCAACAACAGCGGCCCTGCTCGAGGTTTCTTACCTTTCTATTCAGGGCCAGCTCTTTGCCTCGCCGCCGACAGCCCCCATCCCCACCAAGGCAATCCTGTCGCTCGATACTTCCTTGCGCTTTACCCTTGTCTGGGGCGGCACTGGCGGTCGGCGCAGCAAGGTGCGGGCATGTGTTTTCGAGGCGGGATATGTTGAAATTCCTCGGAGGAGGTGTTTGCAAGACCTCATTGGGCGGGAGATCTGGGAATGGGAATAACGGACCCCGCTACAAAACAAGAGTCCCCCATGATGGGGATGGTTATCATGATGGTCGCATGCTTCGTGTGGAAACATCGCGCTTGAGGGTAAAATGATTGTTGCTGGTGGTTTTGTTCCGTTGAATTATAATTTGTAGAAGCCCGTGAATTTTACAGTACTGCATCCTCTCCATCAGACTCGCAGGGAAGGAACACATATTCCGATTCCGCTGCTAGTCCTGGGGGAGACCGCGCTCTCCGCGAAGTCCTGGTCAGAGCGCGCCCCACGAGAGGCCCGGGGAGTGGCGGTATCGGTACGTAGTTAGTCCCCCCCAGATCTAGTCCTCCCGTCCCTTTCCTACGTCTCTTCCCAGTCTTCCCGCTCTCCTCCTTCCATTCACCCTCTCCCTCCCTTGGATCCCCATCTCCCCTGCCTCGGTCCTGCCTCCCTTCTCTTCTGTTTCCGAGTCTGCCTGGCGATGCCTCGCCTTCGGCACTCGGCCTTGCCCGCAGCTCTTCCTTCCACTGATGGCTTCGCCTATTTGTCGTTTGTGTCTTATCCTCCTGTTCAGTGTTTCCTCCCGCTTGCTGTTCTCCAGAGTTGTCATCCCTCTTCTCGTGCATTACCGGCGATCCACACTGTCCCTTGTTGCTATAGTCTATGTAGTTGCTTCGGTTTGCTCCTCTTTCCACTCGTGTCTTGCATACTCTGGCATGCCGATTGACGATCGTGCGCTTGGGCTTGGGCTTTTAAGAGCAGAACCGCTTGGAGGCAAGTGTCCTTGCTTCCTGACACGTGGAGCGTCGTCACCCGAGCGGGTGCTTGTTGCGAATGTAGGATTTTCCAAAGCGTGGCCTAGTTCCGCTCACAGTCGTTTGAAGATTGTTGTTTAAACTGTTCACGAGGCGTACGCCCCAGCCGCGGCCCCCCTTCTCTCTTCGGAGGTTGAGTCTGGGATTCCAAAGCAGCAGCGCGGGATGCACGCCTGGTTCAGCTTGATCCCAGAGCGGCGCTTCCACGGAAGGTTGCGTTAACAGATGGTTGATAAACAAAGCGTCACGTATGCAAACGTACAGTGGCCCTAGCAAGCGCACGTGTCGTGTTTGCAGGCGTATCGCTCCTGAGGTGCAATCGCCTTGAGGCGGAGGCTTCACAATTAGGAAGTAATTTCCGCTCACGCGCTCGAGAGAGAGAGAGAGAGAAAGTAAGATTCCCCAAACAGTGGCCCCAAGACTGCCCCGAGCATTTCCCACGCGGCCGCAGAGGGCTTGAAGAGGCCCCGAGGCGGCGCCAAGAGAGCGCCGAGACGGCCCACGAGCGCTTCAAGACGGCCTATGGTGGTCTCAAGACGGCCCAGGAGGCCTCTACTAAGAGGCCCTCCAGGAGCGGCGGCCGAAAAGACAAAGTCATGGATTTCCCTTGGGTTTTCAGTCACTTCAGCGTTCTCGCCTTGTCGGGCTTCCGACGCTCCAAGATGGCTTCATGGCCCCTTAGGATCGCCCCAGTACGGCCCAAGAGGCCCCAAAGAGGCCCCCGCACGACTGCCTAGGAGGCCCCCGAGACGGCCCAAGAGGGTCGACATGTCGAGCCCGTCCAAAGATGGTTCTGGAGACCGCCGTCAGGGCCCGAATATGCTTCCAAGAGGCCCACAAGGGCCCCAAAGGCCCACAAGACTCCCCCAAGAGGCCTCAAGAGGCTCCCCAGGGGCTCCAAACATGGCTCCAAGGGGCCTCCGAGAGGCCTCGCAAGAGACCACACATACTTCCCAAAGAGGCATCGGATCTTCGACCCAGGCGCGATTGTGGGTGTAGCCAAAGGCCATTCGACATCCCGTATGTCCCAACCATCCTGTGGCGTTGGGTCTTTGTCTTGAAGCAGCAGCACCCCGCGTCCCTTCTCATCTCATCCTCCCGCTCCTCTCTCCTTCCTCACATTTCGGTACTCCCCTCGCACGTTTCGTGGCCTCATAGGGAGCTCCACCGGAGGCACCAGTGGGGCGGGCCGCATGGCGCCACCGAATCCAGTTCTGCACACCCTCACACGTTTCGTGGCCCGATAGGGGGCTCCACCGAAGGCCCCAGTGGGAGGGTTTGCATGTTGCCACCGCACCTATTTTGGAACACCCCTCACGTGTTTCGTGGGCCCCATAAGGGGGGCCTCACTGAAGGCCCCCAGTGGGAGAGTCCACATGGCGCCACCGCGCCCATTTCGGCACACCCTCCACACTTCCCAACCTTCCTGTGGAGTTGGGTCTCGGTTTTGAATCAGCAGCGCCCCGCGTCTCCTCTCCTCCCTTCCTTCGATCCCCCCTCCTTCCTAAACTTTCGGTGCATTCATTGCACTCTCCGTGGCCGCATAGGGAGCTCCACCGAAGGCCCCAGTGGGACGGTCCGCATGGTGCCACCGCAGCCTTTTGACACAGTGCTCAGGCGTTTCGATGTCCCATAGGGAGCTTTACCGAAGGCTCCCGTGGGAGGGTCCGCATTGTGCCACCGCACCCATTCTGACACACCGCTCGCCCGTTTCGATGCCGCATAGGGAGCTCCAGCGAAGGCCCCGGCAGTAGGGTCCGCAAGGCGCCACCGCACTCACTTTGGCACCGCTCACCCGTTTTGTGCTCCCCATGGGAGCTCCATTGAAGGCCCCAGTGGGAGTATCCGCATGTTGTCACCGTACCCGTTTTGACACACCCTTCACATGCCTCTTGGCCCCATCGGGAGCTCCACCGAAGGCCCGAATGGTAGGGTTTGCATGCTGCCACCGCGCCCATTTCGGCACACCCTTCAGACGCTTCGTGTCTCCATACATGGGCTTCAACTAAGGCCCAAATGCCAGGGTCCGCATGGCGCCACCGCACCCATGTCTGTACACCCCTCACATGTTTCGTGGCCGCATTGGGAGCTTCACCGAAGGTCCCAGTGGGAAGGTCCGCATGGCGCCACCGCGCCCACTTCTGGTACACCCCTCACGTGTTCCGTGGGCCCCTAGGGAGTTCCACCGAAGGCCCCAGTAGTAGGGTCCGCATGGCGCCACCGCACCTGTTTCGGCACACCTCTCATACGTTTCGTTGTCCTTTGGGAGCTCCACCGAGGGCTGCAGTAGGAGTGTCCGCATGGTGTCACCGCACCCATTTCGGCGCATCCCTCACCCCAGTGGGAGAGTCCGCATGGCGCCACCGCACCCATTTCGGCAAACCCTTCTCGCGGTTCGTGGCCCCACAGGGAGCTCCACCGAATGCTCCAGTGGGAGGGTCGACATGGCGCCACCGTGCCCATTTCAATACACCAATCATACTTGTCGTGCCTCCCTCCTTCGTTCTATCTGCCTCGCGGTACAGTCGTACCGAGGTATCAGATCGAGGGCGGTTCGGGGAGGGCGCCCTAGTATTCTTCGT